CGTCCATGAAGGTGAGGAGTTCGTTGCTGGTTGTCGACTCGACTAGTCGACCAATATGCGGGAAAGCGAAGCTGTTTTCGGACTGGCCTTATTCATGTCCGTGAAGTTGACGCAGACGCACCATTTGCCATTAAAATTCTTCACGACAACTGGATTTGTCAACCACTCAGGGTATCAGACCTCGGTTATTGATCCGGCCGCAAGTAGGCGTTCGGCTTCGTTGACGGCTTTCGATCGTTATGGACCAAGCTTTCCCCGTTTCTGCCAGATGGGTTTGAAGGTAGGATCGACGTTTAACTCGTGAGAGGTGATCCTTGGGTCAATTCTCTTCATGTCGGAGGTGGTCCATGTGAAGGTTGGCGCTTTTTCTTTGAGAAAGGCGATGATCATTTGTTGCATTTCGTCGGAAATAAAATCACCATCTCGTACGACCTTGCTGGGATCATTTTCATTAAGTCTTCTCCACATTTACGTTAAGTCTACTGAAGTCTGCGTAGGTTACTTTAGCAATTGACTATATTTGATTTTGTTGAGAAGACTTTTGGGTAAGTCTTCCAAGAAGACTTACAGGTAAGTCTTTTTTTATTACCATAGGTTTTCCAGAATCACAAAATAAAAATCTGGAAGACTTCCAGGTAAGTCTTCAGGCGGTCTTCAATTGCAAAAGTACCTACACAGACTTCAGTAGACTTAATGTAAAGGTTGTGAAGACTTCCAAGTAAGTCTTCTGCCGGAAGACTTCCAAGTAAGTCTCTGCCGGAAGACTTACCTAGAAGTCTTCCGTAGAAAGTCAAATTTCTGAAACTGATTGGTCAATTGCAAAACTAACTTGTTTATCTGAGAATACTTCCAAGTAAGTCGTCTCGATTTTTTTTGTCAACAAAGAAAAGCTGGAAAACTTCAACGACGGCCTTTTCTAAAAAGCACACAAAAAGTTATTGCAAAACTAACATATTCTTTGACGAGAAGACTTCGCTTGAGAAGACTTACGAAGACTTACACTTAAGTCTTCTAGCAAACAAATCTGGGAAAATTCAATTTATACATTCAACAACCACTAAGAGATCTTGCTTAGTTTTCCAAGCTTACACAACTTCACCAGAACAGCTACTTAATCGTTAATAACCAGAAAGCATGAGATTGAATGGCTATATGACCCTTAAAAACTTTAGAATCAATAAGCTTGGTTTTTTTTATGAATATAGATAGAAAGTGAGAGAGATGTAGTTTTGGGCATATGATATAAGAATGAATGAGTAAATTTGCTTTTTAGATGCATTAAGAACTTCATTTTGGTTGTTCATGGTTCTTGGGTGAATTGATGGCAATGGTATTTTCGTGATTAATTGATGAAGATGAGGATAAGAGAGTAAAACAAATCATTTTTGAAAAAAAATAAAATAAAAATAACAAAGAATAACATTTTCGTGAATAATCAGAATTTTCTCGAGTGGATTGAGCAAATGAAATGTCCAGGAAAAAAAGAAGTTGGTTTTGTGTTTGAATTGGAGTTTTAAGTCACTTTTGAAAAAAAACCTGATAAATGTCGTTATCTAAAAATAGTTTATATTTTGTTATAAAGGTTTTATTAACCTTCATTAATAATTAAATTAGTTGAAATATAATTTACCATTAATTAAAAACGAATTTCAGAAATTTAACAATAATTATCATATAAAATAGTCTATATTGTGCTATACGATATACAAATATAAATCATTTTATTTACTCTGATTAATATAATATGTAAAGTCGGATTCAATTTTCTTGAGATTTTGATTTATTTGAGATTTTGTAAGTTTTTGGTAGTTCCAAAAATTTGGTTTAATAACATCATTTTATATCAACAATTTTTATATTTTTTTATTTGATGAGATAATTTTATATTAATATAATAAAAATTGGTTGAAGATAACAATATATTTTAAAATAAAAATACTAGTGTTATTTTCCAAAATAATGACTTTAAATCAATAAAATTTAAAATTAAGAAATTAAAAAAAAATAAAAAAAATTAAAAAATTCATAAAATAGTATAATTTTGATGTTTTATTAAATCTTTTGATTTTAAATTAATAGTAAATTATTAATACATAATAAATATCTATAAAAGAATTATCACCTAGTAATCTCATAATTAACAAAACTTTGTCTCTATTAAAAGAAAATAGGTGACCCATCCGCACCATGTGCGGGTATAAAAATATAGTATAATACTGAGATAGGAGTATTTATTGAGTTCAAATGTGGGAGTTTGTGGAACAAGTGAGAGTTTCAATGCTGAGACAAGATTTGCGCAAATCTCTAGGATACAGTAGGGGTGGGCAAATCGTTACTTTTTCGGTTTAGTTTGTTTAGTTCGGTTTTAATATATTTTTTTCAACTGAAATAAACCTTATTTAGTCTGGTTCGGTGTGGTTTATGTCCAGCTCAAGTTATATTCAGTTCGGTTTGTTTTTGGATCAGTTTAATTAGGCTCTTTGTCGCTTAATTTTTTAAAAGAAAAATTATGGTTTTAAATATATACACATAAAGTATGTGAACTAAATTCAATATTAAACTGAAACAAAAAATAAAAAAAAAGTCACAAAAAGTATATAAGAATAAAACAAATGAAAGTTAACTAAAGTAAAAAAAATTAACATCATTAGTATGTTTTTAATAAAAGTTAACTATTAAAAAAACAAATGTAAGAAAAATATACAAGAGACAGTGACATATTAAAAATGTGATAAAAATCTCATAGATATCACAATCCCATAGAAAATGTGATAAAAGTTTAAATATAATTCATAAGTAATATAAAATAAGAAGAACAATTATGAATAAAAAAATCCCATAGAAACCTGCAAGAAATTGTCAATTTTTTTAGCAATTGTACAATATAAAATAATTTAATAGATTTCTAAATTTTATCGAGATGAAAATAATATTGAATTCGTATATCGCTATTGAAACAAACGGAAAAATGGTTTGTAATCAACTACAAACGGTCTTTCATCTGTGTTATTTATCTGTTAATAGAAAAAACAAACAAATGTATATATACAGTAAATTACATTTTTAAGATCCATATTTATATATATATATATATAAACATAATTAAGATAATAGTTTTGGCTTTTCTAAATCTCAAATCACCATTATATTTGTGGTTTTCAAAATGGATAATAGTTTTGGGTTTTTCTAACTCAAATCACTATTATCAAATAAATTTGTGCAAGTAATTGATAGAAAAATAAGGTAATCATCATATTTTCGAATTAGCTAATTAGGAAATAAAGAACATACACATTTAATGCAATATCACATGTATATAGTTACTAATAAATGACATCATAAAAGAACAAGAAATTTACTTAATAGACATATATTTTCACAAAAATTTAACTTTTAAATTTGTCAATTAAATGTATATTTAAAAAAATACTTCCTAAAAAGATTAATTCGTTTAGAATTATATATAATAAAAAATTCAGAATATATCAAATTTAAAGAATAATTATGAATTAATAATCATATTTTATCATTAAGTCTTATGGTTCCTGAAATATTTGTTATAAAAATTCTTGTAAATACATTTCTTGAGGTATATAAAGTCTTATGGTTCTTATAATATTTGTTTCCTTTTAATAAACATGAAGCAATTAAAGAAAGATATTAAAAATTAACTGTCATAAATTTGCAGTAATTAACATACCATTTAAGACAAGTAATTGATGGCAAAATAAGGTAATCATCGTATTAACTTGCGCAAGTAATTGATAATAAAATAAGACAAGTTATTAATAAGGTAAGTTAATAATAACAAACAACCTAATTAGATACAAATCGATAAATCTCACTAAACAATGTAATCACTATGATATCAAGAGTGAATTGTTTTCCGTATTTGTAATAAGGAAGTTTATTAATACATGTTTTATTAATTTATATTATTGCGCAAGTAATATCTAATAAGGAAAATTATTAATACATGTATTAATTATTAGTAAGGTTAGTAAATTATTAGTGATCGACCTATTAATATTCTTGGCTTAATTTCATTATTGTGCAAGTAATGTAATTTTTAAATAAAGTAAGACATGTAATATGAATTATTATATTTGATAGATTTAAAAATTAATTGAAATAGATTAAAGAAAGTTACAACTTGTGCAACGTATGTATTATTAAAATAAGGTAAGTCATTAATAGGAATTAACAAATTTGGAGTGTTTGGAAACGTCGATAGTTTTGTTATCAAATTATTTTTCGCGCTAAATTAAAAAATAGAAAATAAATTAAAAAAAATCAACCAATAAGATTAAGAGATTTAATCCTAAAAACTCTCTATAAGTGCCACGAGAAATCACTAAAGTGACTTTTCTTTTAATGTATAGGGGATTTTAAAAGGAAACAAATCCAGCAATTTGAAAAAGCAGTGGTAGTCTTCCTTCAAAAGTTAAAACAAATCCCGCTCTTTATTTCACAGCTCCTAGTCATGATGTTTTTCTGGTGAAAAGACTCTCTATATAATTGTCGTCTTCATCTGGATCTTAGGGGTTTTCAATATCTTAAGCTTCAATGTCTTACGCTTATCTCTTCAAGTATATCATCATCGGCGATACTGGTAACTACTCCCTTCAATTCTTATCCACTGAGATGAACCAGATCATTGTGACCTATGTTGAGAAAAAAAACCATTTGACCTGAATCTAGTTCATTTGAAATTGAGATGAAGATAGGGTGACTGATTGTGTTTTGATTATATGATAAATCAGGAGTAGGGAAATCATGCCTTCTGCTTCAGTTCACAGACAAG